GGCCTAAGTAGTTACTCCTTCAAGAGAAATATTGAAATCATTAGCACAATAGACTGCTGAGATATGGGAAAACATTTTTTCGTTTATGTTTCTTTTACTTTGTTCGATGCAGAGTGGTAGAGAATAATCTAAATAATATATTTCAATCAAAATCTATCATTAAAAACCAAAAAAAAGAGAGTGAGCCATTAGTCGGTCTTATGAGCCCCCGTTCTTTATGCAAAAAGTTTCGAAAAGTTTTTCGGTCGGATGTCGTGCCGATGCTTTTTGGAAAAAGTATTTCATAAAATGGATTAATCAAATTATTAATCAAAATGGATCGCGTCATTAGCATAACGCCTATTATTTGCGTATTTTGAAAGTTGTATGCACTTACTAATTTTATCGTTGATAACTAAAAAAAAATTCAATTATGATCATTCTTTATTATCAGCTGTTTCTGATCGTTGTTTCATTGGAATGAGTGTGGAACGATTGTAATTGTGCAAAATGTATAGCCGAATATGCTAATGACGCAATCCGCCTTAATTAATTACCATACTTTGTAGTTCATTTTTCATTCTTGATACTAAAAATGTTTTAATCATTGTTGTATATGAATGATACTTAGGTGTACTATTGTTGCTTAGCAAGTAATTAGCTGCTGATAGCTTGATATATATTGTATGAGTCGTTGAAACAGAACACATGTCGAATAATGAGATAGGGTAGTTGTCACAATTTTTAGATGATTGTTGTTGTATTCGATAGAGGAAATTCTGATGTATAACATAAACAAAAGATTTTATCAAAGCTGTCTGCCTACATTTATTATAATTAATTTTAAATTTGATTTATTGCATAAAATATACTCAAATTCATATCCTATGTATTGTGAAGCTAATATGAAAGCTTATCCAATGAAATGATAAGCTAATTTTCATATATGTAATAGAGTTCAGCACTCTAAACAATTTTGTCATTTGGTATAGTATCACAAACAACTCTGAAAGGTGGTAGAAGTTTGTCTCTGTAAACTCCATATACTTCAGTGAAGTGTCTCTATTTATCCCGAAGCATAAAAATGCAAAAAAACAGACATCTTTGAGTACAGCTGATTGTATGTTAATTACCTTGATGCGTTTAAATGATAATGAGCTCAACATCATACAGTAAAAGAGGAAGATTCGAGGTAAAGGATGAGGTATTTTTGGAACTACTAAGTACTAGTAATTATCTCTCAGATTTAATTAACACGGAATTGTAGATTAAAACTCCATGTATGGACGAATGTATGAATGGACTGTCTCTATTTATCCTAATTGGGGTAATTAGAGATACTTTGATAAAGATCTTCACATTTTTGATCTGCCTCAAAATTGGCCATAGATTTTCACAAGATTTTTACAGCGATGTAGAGAAAAATGTTCGGTCTACCACCATGTTCAATAGCAAGTTTTTTGGACCAAAAGCGGGTGAAAACTAGCAAAAGCACGACAAAAAAGTCTCTTTTTTTTCTCAAACATTGCCTCTTTCTTACCCCAAAATATTTTATCGCGTTGTTCTTACATCAGAAGAATATTTTAAACACTGGAGAGCCACACTCAGGCAAAAAAGAGATCAATATAACTGATATGTAAATGTAAATGCCTCACGTTTTCGAAGAAAAGGAGATGGAAAAAATGCGTCTGATTGCATGTGTAGTCCAAACAACATTCCTGATAAGTGAATCATGATTGAAAGTAGTCATGAATAAAAGTTAATTATGATTAATGATTCAACGATAATTTAGGAAAAATCGGAGAAAAATGGCTGGTGAGCAAAGGTCAAGTTACAGGTCAATAAGTCGTCAGTGCAGGTATGCAGGTCTTGAATATTGATTGACTATGTGAACTGAAAAATTTTTGTTAGTATTTACTTATATCCCCTAGATATCAAATTTTGTATACTTAACTGCTGAAAGGCGTATGAAAACCTTATATGAATTTTATCCGAGTCAAGTAAGATTCTTATAAGAATCTTATCAAATTCGTATTGTTGAGAAATTTTTCTTTTAAAACAATGTGTGAGAAGAAGAAGCATATTTATTCAAATAGATAACAAATAGATTATAGAAAGTACGAGAAGCGTTTCGACAAACTTTGGTACTCACTTCACTCGATTTATTAAATTTAAACAAATTTAAACAAATTTTTTTAAAAAAATGAAATGTTTTTTCGTTTTAGTTGCGGTTTTCATTTTTAAAATAGTAGTCATAGAAATATTAGTTAATCTTCATCGTATTTAGCGATGGATGATATTCTCTTCTAAATTCCTTTCTTTTAACTTGTGTGTTCATCTTAGAAAAAGGAAAGACACTAAATTCACCATCAGAACAGCGAGCTATATGTCTTTGAACTTTTCGTATATACGGTTTGGTTCGTCCATGATTGTGATAACTATTCCGTACGAGACTTACAAGAACTTGGTAATTATTTTATAAGAACTTCATAAGTAATCCATGATTATCTTGAAAAACTTCTTATTACATTCGAATCGTATAAATATCGTATACGATTTTTATAATTCACTTATCCAAGTCTTTCCTAATCTATGATTGTATCTGTGCCTTTTCTTGTTTTAATGTCTGTTGGTGATTTTTTTCTCAATCAATTTCTGATATGCTGGTCCAATAACAACGTCTCTCTTACATAAATGTGGTGTATTGACTACTTTCACTTCAATATCAAATATCGCCGGCCAACATTTCTGACCAACCAAAAACAGTTCCTTTTCCATATTGACGGTATGAACTTCTTGAGTCACAAGAGATAAATTAATATGCTCCCAAATACAAGTATTAGAGTCGTCCAACGCTTTCCAATAATTATCAAATTCTTATCAGTCTCGTACGGATTAATTACCACAATCGTGATCGAACCTTGTGTACGAATTCGATAAGACGCTTATAAGAATTGTACCAAAAATTTAAAAATAATCGGTCTAGATCAAGTATCATACGGAGCGTTTCCGATTTTTCAAGTGCTTCAGTTGTAGTACATTTATTAGAAAATTGTTTCGGACTAAGATGCCAGCATTGTGTCATAGATTTCGATTTCTGTGAGACGATGTGATTAGCATGTGCTTTGCGTGCTACTTCTTCAAATCAGGACGTTTTAGCAACTAGTTCAAATTGTGAAATCAAAATTGTACCTGACATCGTTGTGAAATTGAAACGACGCTTGCATACTTTTGGCTTCTTACAATCGTATATGCAATCTGTTCAGGTATAAAAGAGAGAAAGTTGATTTAATTGCATTTTTGAAAGTCAGCAAAAAGAGTAGCACACTAGACAGAACATTTAATTCCTACACTGAAACATTTCCTTTGACAAAACGCAGATAAGTTATATTTATTTGAATGTCTTTGGTTTAGTATTATAGTATGAATCATATTGATCTTACTTCATTTTTATCAAATAATTTAAAAACGTCTATTACAATAACAGTCGAATTACCTCTCACTCTAACTAGTGTTTCATGATTGAATTTTATTGTTGACAATACTTTTATTGCCAATATCTATGAATGGTGCTCTGTCTTTGTTATGTGTTGAAAGACAGTTTTATTCTGCTTCTATACAAGAATTTAGTCAACACTAAACTAAAATTGTTCATTCAGCAACTATATTTATTCTGAGGTACATGTAAATAAAACTGAGTTTGAAGCGTACTATTGACTTCAAATAACATAATTCCATAATTTCGACATAGAAATCTTTGTATTGTACTAAAAGAGGATTGTACCGAAAGATAAGATTAAGAATAAGGCGCCTAACTGTTAGAACTGTCTAATATAGTAGGCTAGTGTTTTATTTTTATTTTTGTCTGTCCTCTTCGTACAATATTCCCTAGACCGCGAACCAAAGCCATATCGTTTTAAAAAATTGTTTATTGTTAACACATTTGCTCAGTTGTTGTTGTTTTCGTCCTACCTATGCATGTACATGTCCAGAACATGCATGTAAAACATCAAGTTCTTCACAATCCACAAATATTAGCTGTGGATGTCATCTGTCATCTGTACAAGAACCCTCTTTTCATCAGTTTTGTCTAATAACATTATTTCTATGTCCCATAAGAAGTCTGATAATGATGAGATTTTAAAATCGATTTTTTCCGTCTTTTACAAAACAGCATATGTTATCAAAAACATTTCAGAATGCAGACGTAATGGGTAGTAAAGAAGCTTCTTCGTCTTTTATGTCAATACATTTTGGTAATTCGCGATGAAAATATCAATTCTAAGTTATGCAGTTTTGGTCCACGTTTCAGAACCATATATTTGGATATATATATAGGGAACCTTGTTCAGTGGCTAATCAATCAAGCAATCATGCATTGACGTACTCAATAGTTTTATTGATGGTTTCTGATGTAATGTTACATAAGAGAGTATTACTAAAGCTTCCCTCGTTCAATTTTACGTTTAGTTGCTTATACCAATATATCAGATGAAAGCGAAAAAGTATAATAACTATCTTGTACACACATTGGATTCTCATTCGATACATAGATATTTACAATACTTTTACCATAATCAAAACTCGTACATTGTACCATTGATCCTGATTACCATTGACATAAAGCTATTTTTGACATTATTAACATCACCTGTAGTTCTACCCATATCAGTAAAATTTTCCAACATTACCGAGATTTGGTCTAAAGTTCCACAGAAGAACTAAAGGCATAACTCTTCAAAACGCTATAGAAAAGCTCTTCTTCTCCATTGCTAAAGTAACTGATTCATTTTTCGACGCACACACAGGAAGCGTAATTCACTGGCATACAATTCCAAATTGTCTCTAGACCTGAGCAACTTAAGTTTGAAATTAGGGCAATTATACAAAGATAACAGAAACTATTTTATTTTACTTTATTGTCTCTGTGTTAATTAACCAATACCTGAGATGTTTACATTAGAATAGAGAAGAACAGCAAATGAACTATGTTTCAAAAGCAGAAAAATACATACACAACTTCATAAACAACAAAATACAATAAGAAAATATCGAAAACAGATGTGCTTGTGCATACTGAATATTTTGGCTGATAGTCTGTTACTGTTTAACTAAAATACAAACAGACAGATCGAAAAACTCGTTGTTCAACTGCTGTTATTGAATGTAGCGAACTCTAGATGGGGAGGACTAAAGACGTATAGTTATCCAGGATGTTTACATGATAGATATGGGTATACTCTGCTGTGATCATACTTTTAGTATACTTTTAGATTGAGAAAAATATTTGGTTCATACCTGTCATTCTCTTCATTTTCAATTGGCACATTGTACAGAACGTATTCTAATGCTGTAAAGAGTTTCAAATAGGAAAGTGCAACTCTTGCATTTGGAACTACTTGAATATATGGGCTTAAATTTGCATTTTTTGTAACAGACTAAATCAGATAAAATCATAAGATACATAACTTTTCTTTTCAAGCGTCATTTCTACCTGATTATTAACAATTAATTTCACAAAATATAATGGCCATGTTATGTTTTCACTATCAACAAATTCTGCTTGTAATTCTTTATTTAATACTTCTTCATGAAATATTTGAATAGCCTCAGACGACCATAGACCAGATACTGTCGCCGATGAATTAGGTGCTGGCAATGTCTACAAAGACTATAGAGAGCATTAATCAAATATTCACTAGTCTCCAGTATTTAATTGTTAGAAAATTTACATGTTAATTAAACTTCAGCGTCATAATTGACAGTAGACGATTAGTTATTCACTTTCGAACTTCTGAAGAAAAATAAGCTTCTTTCGATTTTAGATTAATCTGTTACGGACATATACATATGTGCTGAACTTTACTTACGCACTTCAGATAGCGTGCAAGCTACGACTTGCGCTGGTAACAATGAAAATTTCTCATTTAATTCGTAAATCTCCAATAATTCTTTTGTATCACTAGTGCCGTAATCAATATGAACTATTCCAACCTTATTATCTAAAATGACCTAAACACAAAAAGTCATTTTAAAAGCAAAAAAAGTATTGATACATACACATTGAAGAATTCTAGCACGTAACCAACAATTTTTATATTTTGCCACACAATAATCTCCAATGGCAAAGTTAGTCAACGGTTTCAAACGTAGGTCTTTTTCTAAATCTCCATAATGAGTGCTGAAAAGAAACAACAGATAACAAAACGTTCGAAAAACATTTCTCTTTTATTTACTTTAAATTATTTTCCATTTGACTAAACTGTTGTGAAATATAGTGTTCATGATTTCGAATATAAAATGCTGATAAATGATCAATATTAACAACGACAGCTCGTCGCCACAATGTTCCAGGTGCAATTGACTGCAATTTACAACTAGGTTTTTCAACTAAATAAAGACATCAAATTTTATTAAATCGAAATGCAAGTCAGATACACATACTTATCGTCTGATATGGTTTTGAACACGAGGATACTGTTTTGTGTGAATTGCTAGCAGTCGCAGCCGAAGTACTTGATGTAACCGAGCCATTTATAGACGAAGATAAGTGAATCGATTTATAGTCATACTAGAAACAACAGCATAGTAAAAATCAGTTATGTTGTATCACAATGTAGTCGAAACATCGAATGTTTTGTCTGTTTAAACTATCTAGACTGCATTCTCTCAATTGTACGAACGATAGTCTCTAATTTTTGTTTTTCGTGGCATGTACCTATTGAGCAACTAACCAAAAAAACCTTACATTGTTCATATTTATACGTAATTTATAAGATAAATGAATGCACTTTAGATATATTAATCAAAGCAAAATAATTAAAACGCTGATCTGAAACTAAAAGTCGGAACGAGAAAAGCAAAATATATGTGATAACAAAAATTCGAAAAAAATGAATTCAACATCATGCAGACGCTTATATTTCAAATTACATCGTCGATGTTATGACAAAATAAATGTAAGTATATCTTACTCAAGTTTCTCATCTCAACAAAAATAACTATCACAACTGAATCACAGAATTTAATAAGGTTTTTTCTTTGTTTCTGCTAATTTATATTATCCATTGATGATATTCTATACAAAAATAAAAGCTAATCAATGTCCACGAGAAGAAAGGATCAAAAACAATTATTTACACAAAGTATTCTTTTTAAAGTTTAGATATCACAAATAAAAGAATATCCTGTATACACACAAATTATTAGAAACAAGAGTTAAATAGCACAAAACAAACGAAGGAAAAAGAAAGAAGTCACAGACAACATGCAAGTTCAAAACTTATTCTTCTAATATATTCCAAAACATTTTCTACTATAAAACCAAAGTAATAGACTTTGCTTCTCATATTCTCTCTCTTGGCTATACTAAAAAAAAATACACACCAAAAACGTAAAACCAAACTAAATGATAACAGAAAAAGAGATAAAAATGAACTACGTACATAGATAGAGAATGTGTTCAGAAGAAAAAATTATGCAAAGTGCACACATAATCCATCCTAATCGTCATAATAGCATCATATAAAAACAAATGATTTTTGTTCGTCAAACTAAAAAAAACGGAACAGAACACATATAATAATTTGTAAGATTTTTTTCAAGGATAAAGGATTCTACGATTCATATACATCGCTGATATATTGATCTGTGTCTCATTTCAACGACTTTAATCTCAAAGAAGAAGAAATGTTTAATTTTTTATGAAGCCATTAGAATACATACCGACTCTACTTTTTATTCGTTATCAACGTTGTCCCTTCGAACATTATACAACAAATATTCCGTGTCACCAAAGAGGTCTATAAAATTATTGAAAATAACATCATTTGCGGTAACTTTGATGTCTTGTTTTAAATTCATTGAATTTGTAATGGTCTAATGATAAATAGAAAAAAATAAGGAATTCTTCCTCTTTCATACAAGCAATTTTTGCCTTTCTAACATACCTGATTATCAACAATTAATGTCACAAAATGTAATGGCCTTCAAAGAAATCAGATGTTAAAGATCTTTCTATATTCTGATAAGAAAATAAACTCCTTACCAACCGCTCGCTGCTCCTGTTTTATCCACAAAATGTACTTCAACATCTTTATCAAGCACTTCCTGCCGAAATTTATCAATGACTTCCTCTGACCACATACTATTTTGATTGTCTTTTTTCATAGGTACATTTGGAAATGCCTGAAACGAAAATAAAGTGAAAAAAAGTCTGAATCGTAAGACTTTTTCAATTAGCGCTAAAGTCAGATTTAAGAGTAAAGTGCAATCATTGGAACTCAAACAAACGATAACATACTTCTGACAGTGTGGCTCCGATTACTTGAGCAGGCATCAACGAAAATTCTCTATGCAACGAAAATACTTCTGACACATGTTTCGTCTCCATATTTCCATAATCGACATAAACAATCTGTACTTGATCATCTATAAACAAAGATTAGTTAACAAGAGTTCATTTATAGAAGTTTTTTCAAACTAATTGAACAAAGTATCGTCTAGCCCCGGATTGCGGTTTGTGTGGTATAAAGGGTGTCTCATAATAAGTGGTGATAAATTGTCAATGATATTTCACATACTTTTTCTTGATGAAAAATTCAGCTGTTTTTTTGCAAAATATTCACCATTTAATTCTCCACAAAATGGTATATAGAAGATGATCCTGAAGCTAGAGATACCATCTTAATTGAACAGAAATCGAAATGCCCCAAACTTTCAAAAAATATTTTCGATTATTTTCAAGGACGTGACATCAGACATTTCGCACTCGAAAATAGTCACAGGGCTTTGCAAAAGCATTACTGAAAACACGAAAATAACGACAAAAAGTTCGCATTACAGCCATTCGATAGAGAATTCAAAGGGCTACATTTTGGCCTATTCGATGTGGGCACAAACCATAAGCGTTCTTACAATTAAAAACCGAGAAATAGAAAAAGGAAAAATAATGCATAAACATAAGTGCACTTTAACAGATATATCTGCTAAATTAAAGATAAACTATTAAACTAATCTAACTGTCCACGCTAGAAATCTAATGCACAATTTCAATTAGATAACTGCATTTTTCACAACTATTCTTAGAGCACTGTTCTATTCATTTGATGGTTTTCAAATTTTCCAACAGCTACTTACAGAAAAAACGACTACTTATCTATAGTGAAATAAGTCCAGTTTATAACACAGAGAGTCTCCAAAAAAATAATATCTGTATAATGTGTTCTTTCACGATAATTTCTATTTATCTTTTTCAGATTTTGATACTATTCTTTAACACTAGAACGCTCGGAAATTTTCATGACCTAGAACGCCCAAAGCGGTCATTTTGACCGTTACTGTTTTTTTTAAAAATTTTACTATACTTAAAAATGGTTCTGAATTAAAAAACGAATTAAAAATTCTGCAAAAAATAATTTTTGCGGAACAAATTAAAAGTTATGACATAATTTATTTTTAAATAAATTGTATGCAGTTTGTCTTATTAAGGATAAAAATCACAAAACGGTCAAAATGACCGCTACGGGCGTTCTAGTGTTAATATTCTTAGAGAAAAAGAGGAAAACCGACTTGAAAGAAGACAAAAAAGAGGATGAATCCGAGGCCAGAGTGTCGTCGATTAAAAAAAAAGAAACATTAAATTGAAATACTATAGAGATCAACTTATCTCTGAAGATTTTTGAAACTCCTTTTATGAATTTCAAATAAACTTCTTTACAACGATCATATTGTGCTTTAGCTCTAAAAAATACGAACTTAGTTTACTTACTTTCATAGTGGAGAATCCTTGCACGATACCAGCGATTTTCATATTGTGAAACACAAAAATCGCCATCTTCTATATCATTTAATGATTTAAGTTTCTTCTGATCATATAAACGATTATAATGAGTACTGCGAGAAGAAAAATCACACCATATTATTAACTTAGAGAACTGTGTAGTTGTTTAATTGCTTTTACTTTAGGTTGTCTGACATTTTACTGAATAAATCAATATTACGTGGCTCTTTATTTTGAAGATAAAATGCTGACGGGTGATCAACAATAATAACTTCGGCGTGTTCCCATAAAGTTCCTGGTTCGATACGTTGTAGTGGACAAATGACTTTTCGAACTAAACGCAAAAAAGTACAATGATAAATAAATACGAAATTGAAAGAAACTACATACCTCCTTCTTCAGTTTCCGTTATCGATGACGATCGTGAGAGTTGACTCGAGTGTTTTTGTTGCTGTCGCATACCAGACGATGAAACATTATTCATATATAGTGGAACTGGTGATTGCTGTTTGTTAGGAAGCGAATTGCTCTGCAAACAACAAAATGAACATGCTCAAAAACAGATAAAACAACAACGAAACATCGTTCGTCACAGATACGTATCAATGTGCAAAAAAAATGAAAGATATATTAAGAAAAAAGTTATAAGCTTTATGGGTTGAGCAGTAGGGATAAAACACACTACAGCAATGCACAGGATGAGGAATCGAACATCTCAAGTTTACTTTTGGATAATTTTGTCCAAAAGTAAAACTGATACTTTAAAATTCATAGTTTTAGTGTTCGATTCCAACAACTGTGTAGTGTTGTTTTTGCTTTGCTTTCCTTCTGTTCTATCCTAGTCTATCTCTCAAGAACATTCAGCAATGCTTTACTATGTAATATAATAAAAAAAATATTCAACTACTTTCGTGTTCTGATCTGCTAACGTATGATCGTTGTGTTTTGCTATATTATCAGCATACTTTACAGAAGGGCCGAATATAGCAAAAGTTCGGAGTGTTTGTAAGAGATAATCAAAAACGTAATATGATATTTTTTAACTCTTAGCAGGCCTATAATGCTTGAATTATCTCGCTTGAATTATCGAACGTGCCTTTCAATCTTGTGTTAAGAATGAGAGCAATGCTTACAAGATTTAGGCTATTCATTGCTAGATCACGGTCTTTTACCGCTGGTCCCGGTTCTTGTTGTGGATAACTTATTGGATATGTTGGCGTTGGTCTAGCATTTTCTTGAGCTCGTGTTGATGGCGAGTCCATATGACTATTGTTAGAATACTCCACTGGTTTATCGATCGGTACAAACCCAGGTACTTTTCTTTTCTCTTGGATATAGATTGAGCACGGCGTATTTACATCGGGTTGATGAGGAGCAGAATTATTTGCTGATTGTTGTTCATTATTAATTGAGCCATTCTTTCTCGTGGGTAGTTGTTCTGTTAAGACCGGCGTTTGTACAATTGGGTGTTCAACATGTCCATTCAATGGAAAATTTAAACGATTTGAGTTTAATTTTGAACGGGATGTATATTCACTATGTTCAGAGTTACGTGAACTTGTACCTTGAATAGATGCCACAGATTGTTGCTGTTGAGAATGTTTATCACTTGTCATACCTGTGAGCAAAAACGAAAAAACTAAGAACGATGCTAGTAAAAAACAAAAAATAAGAATATTTGCATAAACTTTAGTGTACGATAACAAAGGTGAATACGGCTTCAAAAATACGTCAAACTCACGATGTGCTGCTGAATAATCATGATGAGATAATGTTTCAGTTACATGTATTTGTCTATTGTGAAAATGCGAATGTTCTGGTGTTGATGAAACTACGACTGGTGCTGATTGAATTTGTTGTTGAGGTTGTTGTAAACATTTTGGTTCGACTTTAGCGATTTGTTCTGTTAATAAATCTATTCTGCATAGCAATGTAACAATATCTACCACTAACTCATTTGTTCGTAATACTTTTGGCATTAAATAATCATACAATGATTGATGATGTGACGGTGACAAAATATTTTCTAAACCTTCTCGCCGTTGTTTCCATAGCTGACTTTGTGTTTCGGTCCTTTTACTTATTTCAGATAAATAATATTTTGCTTTTTCATATGAAACAAGCACACGATCAATTTCATCTATATACGGAATTGTTGGCGTACTTCTATCAGGATCCGCTGATGTATTAAAATTCATTCTCCTATCATTGATCTGAAATCAGAAAAAAAACTCTCATTAGTAATACCAACGAAAATCGTGTAAAACCTTTAGAAAAGGAAACTCGTACTATTACAACTTGATAGGTCTATACTATATAGGCGACTTATAATCTCAAGTCCTAATGAGATATACATACCAGCCGAAACAATAAAAAACTTGTACGTTCTTATACAGAAATTTGATATTCTGGCAAATTTATGTAGTGGATGAAAAATGTTTCACCACTTTGAACAAACATTCGGTCATCCTCAATTTACTTTTCAAAACCAATCGTCTACGCTTTAGTACTATTCAAACGAAGAATTTTGATTAGTGTTTCTGATAAGAATTAGGACCGAACGTCTAATTATTTTTACATACTGTGGCGTATAGGAATAAAAGTTGCAAGCGCATCACAAAAATAATAACATTACATTAAAAACTAAAAGAGAATATTCTTTTTATTTAACCCTTTGGCGACGGGAGGCGTATATATACGTCCGGTCTTCCCGCTAGAGAGAAAATTATCAATAAAATTTTGTTTATTCAAAAACCGAATGTTAAGTATGCTGTTAGACCCAGTTCTGTCTGCTGATCTCAAATATGTTATTACTTTGCTTGAAAATATAAGAGAAGTGAAAACGGCGCAAAATAAGTGAAATGGCGAAGATCAGAAGTGAGTGTGTAATCTTTCTGACAAAAGTTTCTCATACGCTTTTCGGAATCATAGGTTTCTATGATTGTTTTTTCATGATTATGATGTACATTGCATGCAGATTCAATAGTATAAAGAGCGACCCTTAGTTCGCCACCCTCGCTCTTCTACGTATGTTTCAATCGTGGGTGCTCGTTCTCAATGACTTTTCAGAAGCACAATAGTTAATAAAAGCTACTAACTGCCAACTCACGAAATTCATATCGTAGATAGAGTAGAGTCGGGGCTACATTTTGATAAAAAGAAAAAGTTTTCATCTCTCTTAGATGAGGAGCTATTGATATTTTACGGAAAAGAAATAAATCACTTATACCTCACGAACCATCAAGTAAAAGAGACCCACACTTGGTGGATGATCAGCATTTGGTAAGAACTATGCTCACACAAAATTAGAAGTCACTAGCTGTTATGGTTCTTGAGTTACAGGAGTGTTGCGACATTTGCCTATATATGGGCTTTCAGTCGCCAAAGGGTTAAAATGAGATCATAATAACAAAGCCGGATTTTTGAGAAAAAAAAATTAATTTTTTTAGACAGTTTTTTCGAAAAATCTAGATTAATTTTTTAGAAAACGCGAGTTTTTTGTAAACAAATAAATTGAAAACAAAAATTTCGGCTTTGTTAGGTTGTAGCACCGATATTTACCTTCATTTTAAAACCTTCCCGAACTTTCTAACATTTAAAATGGCGGAGAAATCTTTGACGCACAATCAGGTAAAACAAAAAAAAGTTTCGAGAAAAACGCAAAACAAGTTTCTCCTTTGATTATCGCGGTTTTTTTTTGGAAAGTGGTACAGGGAAAAGTCTGAAAGCAGTTCGTCGTGGGTTATCGGCTATGGCGAATCGAATGACCACATGTAGAGACATGTGCGATGTACTTTTTCCCATATGTAAGCGTTATTCCCACGGAAAAACCATAAAAAATCAATCAGTTTTTGATGTTGGGTGCCTCAGAAAAACCGCTGTAAAACCCGCAAAAATCATCGTAAAACCAATAAATCATAGTGCATTCGAAAGCAGATATATTGGGCTATACAACTATGCATAAATATCCAAATCGATTTTTTTGTCGAAAAATGCTTTTTTTGAGGGGTGGGGGGCCCTTAAGTTGAAGAAGAAAGCATAAGTCAAATTTTTATTTTCCCATCAAATTTTGAGAAAACTAGGAAAAAGTCATTTATATATTAAGTTAATCAATAAAGTTAAAAATTAAGAAAAATGGGAACTAAAATTTTAGTTCTACAAAATCGCCATTAAAACTTATTTGGTGCCTCTACGCTCCTTATAAACTGCCATATGATAGAAAAGGAAATACCTGAGAAAAACACTAGTCTAACCACTTTGAACAAAAAGAGCAGTACAGGAAACAAAAGTTATTTAATGGTCGTTCCATTCTAAAAGTTGATTTCTCTCGGAAAATAGAGATGTAATAAGAAAAAGATAACCTACAGTGAAAATGATGATAGTATCTTAGGCCTTCACAAGTCGACAATCTTGAGATCATTTCTGACAGAATCTTGATTTCAGGTCAATCTTATCAGATTCTGACCCTGTACAATCAATAATAAGATTCAGATGAGAATGACCTGATCTGAAAATTTTTTCAAGATTCATGGTCACTGATTCGTGGTAAGAAATCAAGATCAGTTCATTCTGGTCTGAATAAGGACATTGTTTGAAAAACACTGATATCTCAGTAACGGCTTCTGGCTAGAGAACTCTGAATATACATTCTAAAAAGTCTTGATATCAGCT